TATAAACATATATAGATAGTATAAAATATGTATATAAGAGAAGTTAGGGTTACATTAATAAACACATAAAATGCCCTTATATCTGCTTATTCCTACATTATAGTGTGTTAAACTATTGCTCATAAATTGGGGGTGTTAAGGTAAAATGTTATTGGATTATTATTACTGATGCATTAATGTTCAAGTAGCATTTTACTGTCTGGGTTAGGGTTAGTACTCTATATACTCTATAACAAATGAACCTGCAAAGCAAAACGCTGTTGAATAAATGTAGTGAAGTGGAGTGTAAAATATGAAATGTAAGTAAATGGACTTTGAGGTTTGACAGGACACCTGCCTTACATTTTACTGAATCCATTAAAGCATGTAGATTTATTCATACCTTCTACTGTGTTCAGAATTGTCTTTGAACTCGTGTGCGTTTTTTTGCCCTTTCAGTTCATGGGGAGATGGTTTGAAATTGCCAAACTGCCGGCCCAGTTTGAGAAGGGACGCTGCATCGAAACCAATTTCACTCTGAAGACGGACAACTCCATTCGAGTGGTCAGCTCTGAAATACTGTGAGTCCTATCTGCAATTTCTTTGTGCAAATTACGGAGTGTGGAGGTAATATTTGCATGGTTTGTATTCCCCTTTAATCCGACATGAAATTTAACCGTCTGGAATAAAATAGAAAAGGAGAGCTGAGGAAAATCGAAGGGACTGGAGTCATAGAGGATCTGAAGAATCCCGCCAAGCTGGGAATAAGTTATTCCTACGGTGAGCGAGACATTTGAGTCATTTTTGGGAATAACTGCCACTGTTGTGTGGTGTTTAGGGAGTTAGTAACTCCTATTAGACTTTTTCCTCCTGTGTCAGATCAAGAAAAACATTGTAGGTGATATTTTTATGTGCTCCTTAACACTACAGTCCTGCCCTACTCCCCTTACTGGATCCTGTCCACTGACTACGTGAACACCGCCCTGGTGTACTCCTGCACAGACGTCCTGAGGCTCTTCCACGTCGACTTCGCCTGGATCCTGGGCCGCACACGAACCCTGCCGGACTCCACCGTCGAGAAAGCCAAGGAGATCTTTGCCAACAACAACATTGATGTCAGCAGGATGATTGCCAGCAGGCAGCAAGGCTGCGACAAAACTCTCTGAGCAGCAACAGAAGAGCAGCACCAGATAGGGCTGTTGTTGGCAGGAGGGAAAAGATGATTCATCCTCTGTTCCAGAAAAATCTTTGACTAATATTTTATTGTGATTGTGAACAGGAGGGTAGACTCAGCTCATTTACTCAGATTGTTTATGTGTGGAACAGAGTTTTCCTTACGTTTAATGAGAATAAATATATATTGTTCATTAAGTAATTGTATGTGAGGGTGTTTTGAGTATAGCAGAAGTGAATGCTAAGTCATAGTTTACACATGTTTTTATTTAACACATCCTCACTGCTTGTAATATTACGAGCTGACAGTTCTGTTCATGTTGTCTTAATGATCAATGTTTGTTGTTTCATGGGCAGTAAACAACAGAAGAATCGTATGATATTAAGTAAATCTGATGTTTATACCACAAACTGGTGACATAAAGCCTCTAATTAGAGTCAATAAAAGTCAATGAAACGTACTTCATGTGATCTTCTGCATCTTTTTAATGAAAACATTCTGTATGAACATCAGTGTGCAGGATTTCTACAGGCCCTGGGAGGCACACATATACTGTATATAGAGTCAGAAACAAAAACTGCTATTTAATGTAATAAAATGGCTGATATTAAGTCTATTCATTTTATATAATACTTTTAAAGTGACAAATTACCCTTAAAGGTAAAGTTTGTCATCAATGTTAAGTTTGTCCCAACTGCAAGACCTATCGGTAGTAGTGTAATGTATGAAACATATATGGGAGTGTCATAATTATATATGACAGACATAAACTTTTAAAACAGCTTTAAAGATATATAAAGCATATGTATATTTGATTTATTGTTTACTTGACAGCATTTTGCAACAGCTCAAATCCTCCTTGGAGAAGGAAAATATAAAAATAAATTATAAAATAAATACATTTTTATTAGCCTCATTGAAAATTAGCAGCTTCAGAACAACGTTAAATATTCATGTGTTTAATATGAAAGATGGCAGGACTTCATCCATTATTTTTATTATATATATATATATTATCTTTTATCTTATTTTAATTCTATTCTTAAGCTTAGGGTTTTTAATTTTAGCTTTTGTATTTTGTATTCTACTGGATACTTGAATTGCCCCTCGCATAAATAAAGTATCTATCTATCCTATTATCTGTCGTTCTTGTCTGTCTGTCTGTCTGTCTGTCTATCGTCTGTCTGTCTGTCTGTCTGTCTATCTATCTGTCTGTCTGTCTGTCTGTCTGTCTGTCTATCTTTATCTATCTATCTATCTCATTCTGACCTCAGCGGAACCTTCGTGAGCTGCACTCGAACTTCACGTCGTCGGACTTATTTTTACCGAGCACCGCGCTGGCTTGGCAGTTGTTTAGCTTCTTTAGCTGATACGTTAAAGCTGATAAATTAAAGCTGATAAATTAATGACAATCTGACGGTAAAATCTCGTGTTTTCGTTCATCAATGCCACTAAAGGATCAATCCAACTCGACCGCCATGAAACCCGCGGTGGATGAGATGTTTCCGGAGGGCGCGGGGCCGTACGTTGATCTGGACGAGGTCAGTTAGCTCGCTGGCTAACCGTCCGTTTAGTTGCTGTAGCAACGTCCGTTATAAAAGATTAGAGCCTCATTAACTTTATTCTGAAAGTCATTAATAATACCATTAATAATACCATTAACTAATCGTTTCCCACCGTGATGTTGTTTTACCACCTGCTTTTCTGACTCTTGGCACCGTTAACTTTATATAATAATAATATGAATAAACTCAGCACTACATTAAAAGAGAATAAAAGTACAAATAAAAACCAGCAATAAAGCAGATAAAATATATTATCGCACTGGAGCAAATTAACAGTTAATAATATGCAAATTAATGATTAAAATACCCATTAGCTAATGTATAAAAAAACCCAATAATACTCGTAAAATACGAGACATTAAGCAGCGTGCTAGAATAAATAAAAGGGATTTTTTAAAAGAGATGTGTTTTAAAAAGTGATTTAAACTCACTTAAGTTAATTAGTAACGTTTATTTAGATACTACTAAGTAGAGCTGCAGAAACATAGCTGAAAAATATGTGATATGATTCACGATTAGTGTGGCAACGATTATTTTTTCATCACAAATTTAATTTCCTATTATAAAATCTATTAAAATGATGTGAAATCGTTTTTATAAGATCTATTGACCAGCTCATCTCTGCAGCACTACAGTAGTTCATTATGCTGGTTTTATGACCTTTTATCAAAACATTGCAGCTCTTGTGATTTGCATATTGCACCTGGTCATCTTGCAATTTCGGTAATATTTTGATTAATTGTGCAGCTCTGCTTATAAGTGAATGTAAGTGAGCGACATACTGGTATTATGTGAACCAACCCAGACAATATGTGGTCACACAATCTTCCTGATATGACATTAGTTCATTTTACAAAGTAGCAGTCCAACAATTCTCAAATATTAATGAGCACCATCATTAAATGAGTAAATAAAGTAAACAAAAATCTGCCTTTCGCATTGAGAAGCTGTCTGCTGATTGGGACGAACACAGGCTGAAGTGGTTGTTCAGAAAATATGGTTTAGCATTTTCTACATTGTAAACCATCACAAATACCGTGCGGATTTATCTTTGAGCTCAGCTGAATTGAATTGTTGACGCGTTTATCCGAACAGATTGTTCGTAACGTGCTGCTGACAGTCTTGAGTTAAGTTTGTGTCTCTGAGCTGCATGTTTGTTCTCCGGCAGGCTGGGGGAAGCACAGGACTGCTGATGGACCTGGCTGCCAATGAAAAGGCCGTTCACTTGGACTTCTTCAATGGTAAAGATAAACATACACCTAGCCACGTCTTACCTTTGCACCTGATTCCCCCGAGATTCTCAGCAGCAAAACTCCAGACATTGTAAACACAGCAGGCCACTTTTTAATAGGGCCGAGTTGTGTATTTACTCATTTCAGTCCATTTTAGCCAAGATTAAGTTAGAATCAGTTTATATGTTTATTTGTACGTAAAATAAAAGTAAAACAATATTTCCACAAGCCAGTTATTTAAAGTATTGTGAGCTAAATGCCCAAAAGACCACACTAACAGTACTAAATAATGGTTAAACACAGCAACATTTGGAGCATCTCCAAGATACACTTCTCTCTGAAATGCTGCCAACTGGGTGCGTATCGAGTATTTCAACAATACCCTTATTTGCCTGGAGATGAAACACCTTATTACTCCAGTTATTGCCTTCATCTGGGAGAGTTAGGGGCCAGAAGTTGCAGAAGTTAATGCTAATGCTGTTGTCACTCATTGCCTTTCTCTGACTTGAAATTCCAGTCACTGCTCTAGTCCAATAAGTAGCAAGGTTGGGTTATTTTAAAGCACCGTTGGATGTTCTGGATACTAGAATTGCTCTGTCAAGTTGTCTTGTTCCGCAAAATTAGTGTTCTTACAAACTTCAGACTCCAGGCTGCTCAGCAGATTGTTATACAATAGAGTCTTTTTAGAGACTTTTCTTTTGGATGGAAAACATTTTTCAGGAAGTCTCAACACTTTTTTTATTGACATTATGAAAGGTGTCAATTAATCTTTTCACCTCTAGGTAGAACCTCACAACACATTTGTGCTGTAATGATCCTCTAAAAGGATTTCACAGATCAATCCCTCTCCAACCAATGAATTCTGCACAACCTTTAAATGTTTAATCACTGCAACTTTTCTGCAGCTTTCCTTTGCAAAACATCCTCACGCTCACCTCCTTTGTTTCTTGTTGTGAAGACAGATGCAGACGTGAACAGTTCACATTTATCTTGGGCCTTTTTGGTAACTTGGAACTGCAATTTCATTCTCACTGGAACAAGTTGTTTTTCATTTTTAATTAATTATTTTAAACAAATCTAAACTTTCTTTGGAATTTTCACTTTCTCCTTCAAATTAATTGCAATAAAATGCCTAAAAACACTGCAACGTGCATTGTAACATCTTAGAAAAGCTGCTGTGAAATGAAATCAGCCGTTTCAGGCCGCAAACAAGCTGATGAAATCCAGAAGGGACTGACAGTAGATGTATCAGTGCAAATTAATTTTCCTACTCAGATAATCTGAAGTGAAGTGAGGAGGATTCAGTCCTCTTCAAATAGGAAATTGTCAGTCAGGGCAGATTGAATCGATTAACACATGATGTTACTTTACCCCTGGGCGTCAGAGTGCTGCTGGTTCCACAGCAGGAAATCTCTTTACTGGCCCCAAAACATTCCTCGTGCGCCCGCCCCCCCTTTTTACAAACTGTGTTTTATAATGTAGTGTGATCTTTGTCCCGAGGCGCAGCAACATCAAACGGCCGTGACTTCTCGCCATATGCGACACAGAGACTTGACAGCGGGAGCTCTGTGGATGTGCTTTGTACGAGGCTCATTTAGGCTGGAAGGCTTTATTCCCTCCCGATAGAGATGTGTACCACTTAACTGTCTCTAGGCTTATTGAATGCAGCTCTCAATCCCCCTGGCCTACATTTTAAAGGGATTTTAATGTGCGTTCATTTAAACAATCAGTGACACACTGGCTCAATTCTTTCACAGCAATAAAAGTGAAACTGCAGTGACAGAGCGTGCTAATTTATTTCACACCGCTCGAGAACATTCAGGCTACAGCGGATCTGTGGAAAATGAACTTCAGCGTGTTTTAATTGTTTAGGTCTAATGTTTTACAAAGCCTTTACTTACCAGGCTGAAATTAAACTTTAAATAACACATGCATTAATCTCTTTGGATGTCCACGTACTTCTGTGAACCTTTTGATCTGGTGGTTGGGTCCCTTTGCTTCCAATTAAAGGAAATCTAAATGCTACAATGCATGCAAGGATATTTTAGACAATAGGGCGCTTCCACTGTTTCAGCAGGACAACTAGACACAAAGTCATGTACATAAAGAATTTGTTTTCTGAGTTTGGCGTGGAAGAACTTGACAGGTCCGAGCTAATAGAGGCTAAAATATTAAAAACATAGATCCTGATATTGGTACCCATCTCCTAAATAACGCTGTTAGAGCAGCAGTTAGAACAGGACAGAAGGAATTTTGTCACCTGAGCGTACCTGTCTTTCATTGTAGGTAATGTGTTTTGTTATTCGTGAAGGCTTTAATTACATCCATCATGTTGTTTTTCTGTCGTGTTGCTGTCTGATTTCTATGTTCTGTGTGTTTGATGACTCCTTTTTAAACAGCAGTCTGTGCACGAGGAGGACTGCATAACAAACTCTTGTGTGCAGTCTGCACACAGTGTACTGTATGTAGGCTGAATACAGACAATAGTAAGTGAGCAAGAAGAATAGAACACTATTTAAAGTTTAACAATGTAGGACGATCACTCAAAATGTCTTTTCACTGAACCTTCAGCAACAGACTATTTACGTACATATGTTTTAGGTTTAGGTTCTGTGTGTGTGTGTGTGATTATATTATATACTTACATTGTAAATATCTGAGTTCTACAAGAGTTCAAGAGATTTGCTACAAAGAAAACAAGTAAGTGAAGTGAAGTGAAGTGAAGGTTGTTTCTGCCTTTTATTGGATCAAACAGTTAATTGAAAAAAGGGCAGATTAATTGATAATAAAAATAATCAAGAGTGGCAGAAAAACACACTGCAACTAAGTTCATCTGTCTATTATTTCCTTGATGAATTCATTTGTTTTGCCTAAAAATAAAGCAGAAAATAGTGAAAAATGCTGGTTCTCACAGATCAAAGTGATAATTTAAGATACAGATGTTCCTTTATTGATCCACGTGGGAGAAATTCAAGTTTGACACAGCAACAGTGTAAAAATACAATAAAGAATAAAAATACTAATAAAGATATAATAGAAAATATAAAAACTATAATGAAAATATTTACACTATATGCAGTATGCAGTAAGGAATAAGGCGTGCAACTATATTTTAAACAGTGTATAACTGACCGTACACAATGTAGAGAATCTGATGACAGTTAAAAAGATACTCGGTTCACTATCGTTCATGTTGAAGATAAACATCAAATTCTCTCATTTGTGCAGCTGGAACCAGCAAATATTTGGCAGGTTGCCAATTCATTTTCATATCTAAACAGGCAGTGTCAATGAACCGCTGCACACAAACTGACACATATATCCCCCGATAAAGCAGCTTTATAGGAGGTATTATCTAATATACTGAATGTTTTAACATTCACTAAAGAAAATGAAAGCTTATTTTCCTTTAAGCTACCTGCAGAACCAAGAGGATGTGGCACATGTTCTCATGCATGTTCATACAGTTCTCCTGCTGACCTCTGACCCCACAAACTATCAGACCCACAGGAAAGGTACTCAGCAGCCTCCTCAGCTATTGCATTCCCAGATCCTTTTACTTTTATCACCCTGCACCCCTCCAACCTCCGCTGCTTTATGAGAAAGTGTCTGGCTTGCAGAAACCTTTCTGAAATGCAGCCAGAGTTTCATTGTCCAGCTGTTATGTGACTTTGGTGTAATTGTTTGTTTGTTTTTTGTTTTCCTTCCACAGATTTTGAGGATTTGTTTGATGATGATGACATCCAGTGACGTGAGAAGTCTTCGGAGTAATGATGGATGATATTCACATCAGTCTGCACCTTTTTTTTGTCTCCTTCTTTTTTTGTTTTTTGGTGGAAAAGCAAACCAACCATTTACTGTCTAATGACATACAATTTCCTTTCATAGTTGTCCTAGTTTCAGGCTGTTTAAAACATCCGTAAAAAAGTCTTCACAGGCTCCAGATGTTGGGAAATTCTTAAGATCCCAAGGATTCCTTTATATACGGTATGTTAGAATTATGAGCCTGCATCGCGCTCGCGTCTTCGACTGCTTCTAAACTGGATTGCAGGTTTCAGTGTGCTGGAAAACACCTGTTAGGAGCGTAATTATACATATGATGGGCAGAGGCTTCATATGCTGTCGCCCTTGAACATGCTGCAGGTGGCATATGATAAATGATGGTCTGCTGAAATGTCTTGAATTGTTTGTATGACAGTGTGCGATACCCACATACGTTCTGTGTGTTTTATATCTGCAGTGAGTCAAGTTATGTCATGAATTTGTACATATGTGTACAGTTACACGTCCACAGTTTTTGTGATTGATTCTATGTGACAAAAAATCAATAAATAGTGTTTTGTAGATAGGAAGCAGGAAGTGTGTGTGATTTATTTCCCTTTTAATAATATTTGTTGTTCATAGAGCAATTTCCTAGATGATAGATCTGAAACTATTAGTTGATAATATTGATAATTGACTGACAGATTAAATTAATCTACACCTGCTTTGATAATCGATTAGTAAAAATACCAAACAATACTCAAATGTGAAGATCTTATCTGTGCAGTGTGTGACCACTGATCGTTGGGTTGTTGGGCAAAGAAAGACATCTGAAGACGTAACAGCATTTAAGCATTTCTTAATATTTGCTGACATTTAAATGACCAAACAAACGGATTAATCAAGACAATAAATGTTAATAAGAGTTTAAATAATAATGAAAATAATTCAACTTTATCGAAAGTTCCAGAAAATGTATTGTTTTCTTTACATGGTCAAAAATAGCCTTTGAACCTGGCACATCAACATAAAGGAAAATATCTTAATATTGTGATATTTATTTTATCCATACAGCCTTTACCAAGTAGTTACTATAAGCTTACTGAATTGTCCTTTAATGGCTAAATCTTACAACTACGGGATGTACTGCAGTTTATTGCAGGAAAATAAAGTGCAGAATGTAACAGAGGATCAGCCAGCGGTCAGAGCGAGTGTGATCAACTCCAATACTGCAACCTAATATACAAAATAAGATGTGGTAAGTGTTGGAGAAGAGCTTTATGAACACAAAAACCAATACTCACCTCGAATATGAAAGAGCCAGGACAGCTTTTGCAAGAGTTCTGCAGCTATCAGCCTACAGATAAACAGCACGCAGACTGCTGTGTGTCAAACAAATCAAACAAAAAAAAGCCGCCTTCAAAAATGTTGTGTACAGAATATAAGAAACCGGCGTAGTTTCTGCACTGCGACATATAGCGTTTTTCATTCTCAGGCTGTCAGGAAACGTAGATTGTATCGTTTCTGAAACCTAAGAATTTACTGTATAATGAGAGACTGCCTCAATATCAGCAACAATGAGAATGCTGATCTGAAGGTCAATAATATTTCCAGTTTGGGAAACAGCATATTGGAGTTTTATTACTATTCAGCACAAGTTGGAGACTGATAAGAGGACTTCTGAAGAGCACAAAATGCAAACGGCAGGTTTTTAACAGCTCGCCTGAACAGAATCAGCAAAACAGAGAATTGTGCCGTCAGCACAGAAATGTCCAACATTTGTGTACAAGACAATGGTATTAATTACACTCACAAACCAGCAGTACACACAAAGTACTATCTAATTGGAATTTGCAAAATGAACCACAGGCCTCAAGGATCGGGACCAATTAACAAAACTGTCTGTGATAGCAGGAAATGATCAACTTTATTAAAATGCTTTTGAAAGTCACACAGACACAGATGCTTTATCCAGAATACCAAATTCTTAGAGACTAGACAAGATTAGGCTACAATTTATTTTAAACGCTAGCGGCTCTGTGAGGCTGTACTTGGTGCTATGCATGCTAACATGCTCACTATCTTACTTTAGCATGTTAGCATGCTATTAACTATTTAGCAAAACACAGAGGGTACAGTTGAGCCTGATGGAAATGCCCTTTATTTTGTTGTTTATATCTTTACATAGATAGAATATAGATATAAAATTTCATTAGAATTTATCCCCAATAGAAGAAAGCAAATTTCATGTCAATACAAACAAGGGTTGATATTTCACTTTGAACCACTAATGTCAAACTCATGGTGGCGACAGAGTTAAAGTCCGAGGATAACAAGAGTCATCGGGATTCATCATCTGGGGACCACGAATGTCTGCACAGAATTTCATGGCAATCTATCCAAAAGTTGTTGACATGTGGAGCAAAGTGTCGCACCAACCAACATTGGCATCCATAGAGCACTGCCATGATACTCCTGCAAAGAAACATTATCTGTCTCCTATTCTGACAGTTTAGTCAATGTTAGTGAACTTAATTATTACAAACCAGAGATATACTGTAGGTCTTCAGGCTGTGAACACTGGTTTATTGACAACGAATGTAAAATCTCAAATCTGGACATGTTTTGGACCATTTAAAGCTTTATTTGACGTAATCCTGAAAATGAGTTACTGTCACAACCTTTTGGCATTTTCTTGCATTGAAAATACTAATAATTTATGTTTTAAAGTTCTTTTTTCCTTTCCTGTCTAACTTGACGACTACTTTTAATGATTAATAGTCACAGACTGATCTGTTGCTGATTTATTTGTATGTGATGTGAAACCTGAACTGAAATTTAAGTGCTAACATAAAAGCATTTGACAGGCATCGTCATTTTTACAAGGGTCTGTGTTTTTAATGAGCTTTTCTTTCACAAGTAGCATGAGACGCTTTAAGGGGTTCTTAGCCCAGTTTTTTTGTTAAACTGTCTTGAATTTTCCATACACAGAATGAGACAGACATCTCTCCTGACGGCTGTTCTGCTTTAAGCTGAAGAAGACAACCATTTGTCTCCTTCTGTGACAGCCCCGGTTATTCTGAAATGTGTAAATTGCAGGGATCATAGCCAAGGCTGAGTCATCATTGGTCATGCAAGAGGGACACAATCCCAGGGGACACACTGTATGACTGCAGAAAACCAGCATTTAGGAACTGAGTGGAAGATGATGCTTGAGGCAAAATAATTTGATTTAATTTTTGTTTTTAATGTAATTAAGATAATAGGAATCAAAATATGTTAAGATCTAACGGTAGCTGAAGCTGCTTTGCCATATTGTTTGCTACTTCATTGATGCAGAGGCCCAGGGAGTACTCCTGCAGTTACCAGGAGGTATGGTCAAATACTGTGAAGTACCTAAACTAAAAAAAAGAATTTCTAATAAAAACATATATGCACATAAGTACACACAAGTCAGCCGTAGCAGGAACAGGGGTTACTGTTAAGTGAGAAACATAGTTAGCAAGAGGTCTACACAGTTAGCTAGTAAGGTTTGATGTAAAGCTTAAAATAATGACTAAACAGTGCAAATGGTAGCTAGAAGTAATAGAATATAATAAATATTTGAAATGTATAGGTATATATATATATATATA